TTAGTCATTTGTAGCGCGTGGCTATTTTGGTTGAATTATGAATTCAATTCCAGAATTTCTCATATAAAAAAACTAAAGATTAATAAACCAGATGGATGGATACATGGATAATATGCTTACCCAATCAATCATACGAGCACTTATATAGAAAATTTCACATTTAAGGAAACGAAATAAAAATTAGTCAATTACTTTGAATTAAGATATGGGTTGCCCAAAAATATTTGAATTAAAATAAAATGTTTGATAATTATATCTTAACTTCCAAGAAAGTTGGCCAAGCGTCCACCATTCGATGGTCTTGGAGTTCATGATTTGACTCAATGATTCGTAGTCCAATGTGTTCATACCTTCTTTAATTCAAACATACAAAAACAAGAGCTTACAGTCCAACAGTTCAATTCTTGAATTGGCCAATTCCGGCCTTACAGCTTATGATGAGCCTGCAGCACCTGCAGGCCTTACATATTACATTAATCAAACTATATGTAGCATAATAATTAATAAAATAATTTTAGTTATCTCTTAATAATTATATTAATTTGTTTGGACAGCTGATGCACATGGCAGCTTGGAAATTAAGTACTTCGGGTTTTCTCAGCAGCAGTCGCAGCCATGTTCAAAATCATAACTCACCGCCAATGTAAATGATCCAGAAGATGCAGCACATGCATGTTTTGATGAATAATGTGCATGAAATCGAGTTAAGCCAAGGTATATTTCTGCTGTGGAATTTCAGAATCTTCATTAATGGAAACATGAGTGAAGAACAAAAACATATTTGGAAATTAAGGACCAACTTGTTCATCACATGCAATAGCTGACATAATTCATAGTACGATTTTCGATAATATTCTGATCCCAATTGTTTAAGAGATGGCATATATACTATCGGCATCTACAATTCCTAAAGGCTAAGGCTTTTGAAGATTTTTTTTATAAAAAAAATTACATTAATGTAGATATGTACTTAGCCAAGGTAGCTGGAGCCGATGTGTATCATGTTACTTTGCATCCGAGTTTGAATCCTCATCTTTGTAGTTCAAATTAAATTAAAATAGAATATTACTTGTATAAAAAAACACACACATTAATTTGAATGAATTTGCTGATAATGTTGATAAATTTATTTTTCTCTGGCTATGGCAAGTGGTTTTAGCATAATAAGGGAGTTTGTATTCCATATATAGAGTAGCATGCCTAGCTACACCTGGCTCTGTTAATCTATTTAATCCAGATTTCTAAAATTAATGATCACATGTGGAAGTAAACTACCATCATGTCTTTATGCTCTAACTCTTTCCAAATTTGTTGATAGAATATGGTTTGATGTGATAATATGATAGGTAAAGGAAAATTATAATGGAGATTTGGGCATTGCATTTTCATTGGGCCTGAAAATTTGCCCAAGCTTATCTGAATGAATGAATTCCGGGCCTTATAGAATTTGCAGGCCTCAAATGGCTCAACATTTCTATTTTTATTCATCTTTTAAATCTTTGTTTTGGTAGCCTCCTATTTTGCATCAACAGCAAACTGCTTCTTGGTGGGCTTGCAGCTTTTTTCAAAGGGACTTTTCTGTGTGCACAACTTAAACAGTCAGTCTTATTTCTTTTGGTGTTTGTGTTATTATGACTCTTTTGTAGTCTAGTGCACGGGTGACACTCTTTTTCCTACCCCAGGGTTTTGTACAACGTGGTTTTTCCTAGAAAGGTTTGTAATTAGGCTGCGTTCCTACATGCGGGTTCCTTTGTAACGTTTTCTCTGATGATTCTAATGATATGCCCCTTTGTCTATTAAAAAAAACTTAAACAGAGTTTTCTGTTTCTTGCATCAGAGAAATGTGTATTTGTTGTACCTCAGTGCATTGCTCAACTGGTGACTTGAAGCATACCAGTTATCATGCACATTTCTATCCATATATAACTCTTTGGTTAATGGATCTTAAAAATCATGGACACTTTTGTTTTCTGCTGATCAAATGTTTTTCAACAATTTTTACTTGATTTATACTTCTTAATACAAACACAACCTCGTGTCTCCAATTTCACAATAACTATTTTGAGCTATATAGCTTGATTTTCCCAACAAAAAAAGAAAAGAAAAAAAAGGGGTGGAAATAATTAACCAAGTAAATATTTGTCACTAGGCAGCAGCTCCCACAGGCACTGCTCCCTTGAGCCTGGAGGATCCGTATAGAGTTTCTTCGAAGCGGATAACCTCGTTCTTGGATCCGTAAGCAACTTGAGTCCGATCATCAAGATTAACGATCACCTTGTCTAGCACAGACTGGTGGCCATCACTACTGAAACCTCCAGCATTTTCAACCAACAAGCCTAATGGAGCTACCTCAAACAACAGTCTTAGCTTAGCCTTGGTAGTTGGGGATATCACATTGGTGAAGATACCCCTCTCTTTTACAATAATCTGCAAACCCATAATTTTGTATGTCATTTTAGATGCATTGTTTTGCTTAATGACTAGAAATTAACTAAACTCAGGCATGTCAAATGGTGTTAATTAATTAAGATAAGTAAGGACCTGGTTAACATCTGGAACCATTCCTCCAGTGTATCTCAGTGTGTACTTCTCTTTCACATAGTAGTCAATTAGCTGTTAAATAAAAATTCAAGAAATTACACCATGAGTGAAAAAAGAAAAGAAAGTAGCATGTCTTCTAAAAACACATCAGTAAAATAAAATTTAGGAAAGCAGAGTTGACCTTGCTGTAGTCAGGGTTGTCAAATGTGGCTCTCAAATTTCCAGGGGAGAATAGCTTTCCTTCACCAATTTCTGTTGTCTCCTTAACATGTTGCCATTTTCCTAACCAAAGCATTTTGTAGAGAAAATTAAGGGAAGCCATGTATTAAGTTTGAAATTTATCATAGAAGTGAGCTGATCAAATCATTGTTGGGTGAGAACTTTATATGAGATTTAATTTTGCGATATGAAAGCAAACCTTCATCAAGAAGAAGGAACTCATGGGTGCCAGGGAAGCCTTTAACAGCAAGAACATATGTTGTTCGAGGCCCGTAAATCCCCATGGCTGCAGCAACTTGATCTCTTCCTGTTATCCCAGTTAACTTATCTCCTGGCCACACCCCGAAAATTGTCCCTACAGTGAAATTTGTGTCGACGATACTGGAGCCATCAAGTGGATCAAAGGCAACACTGAATCCACCTGTTTATGTTATGATTAACTAGTGAGTAAATGTTGAAATATATATTGAGTGCTCATATGAATACATGAATTTCCATATAAGATTAGCAGACCTTCAGCTGGGCCTCCCATGTCTTGGAGCTCAGGAACTTCTTCAGAACAAGCATATTTGCAAACGTGTGAGTAAGTTAAGGCCTAGATGTTGAAAGACAGAAATCAGTTTTGACAATATTCTGAAGACCAGAGTTTACAATCAAGTTTGGTTTAGGTAACTTCTGATTGTAACATGCATTGAAAAAAGTATATTTCTTCGGCAAAATTCAAACTATCCCATTTGTGCAATATGCATATATAGATTAAGTCTGACCTCAAAAAGAAGCTTATCAGCGAGCATATCCACAGCAAGCTGCTCATCTCCAAAAGAATTGACACATGCTGTTCCTCCACAAGAAGCTGTCCTCACTTTAAATCCAATGGTCCTTAATGCTTCCCCCATTGATATCAACAATGTGATCAGTTTCTTATCTGGGGTTGCCTTTGTTAGGAATTCTTCCTACAATCACAAATTAATTGTTTTAAAAAAAAAACTTGTATTTAAGCTCCATAAAGACCCTTTTGCCTATACTGGTTGTGCAGCTCTTTTTGTAAGCCAGTTTTAACTTTTAGGAAATAACATGAGGTTTCTTTTTGTATCTTACCAAGCTATCACCAAGTGCACATTTGGGTACACTGGAACTGTTCTTTGACTTTAAAGCTCTCAGGGATGATTTTGGCACCATACGCAATGATTCCCCAAATAGAGAGCTTGTTCTCAAAACCTGCCATGCATACAAAAATCCTTTAACAACATGTATATTTCATTCATCCACCATTTTCATTAGAGCACCATTGGGGCACGTATCGAAAGAAGAAGTCCATTATATATTGGTATATATTCTCAAGCTGCAATTTGTACTAACTTGGCCAAAAATATGTGCATGCATATATGTCTGAAAGTGAAAACTCCATGTGTTAATACCTTAGAATTGAAAGATGAAGAGATGGAAGCTGGAGAGACTAGGGAGCTTGAATGCTGAGATGAAACATTACGCGCTGGAAAAGCTCCTCTGGCGTAGCATGCAACACTGGTCTCCATATTTGACAGTTAGCTTCAAATTAAGCAAAACCAGTTTTTGCAAGAGCTAGCTGTGCTGTGCTTTCAATCTATTTTCCTTGGGCTTGGAAACTTGGAATGAGTAAGGATTGTAGATATATAACCAGCTAATAGTGTTTTGCCACGTGGCACATGCTAAGTTTATAAGCTGAAAAGGTGGAGTGGGCTGAAGTTAATTAGCATCACTCAAATCTGTGGCTCTGCTCTGGTCCCATGAAGAGATATGGTTTAGTTGAGACCCCACTTATGACTTATATCTATGCATGTCACATTTCTGAACAAGAAATGCAACTGGGAGCTCCGCTGGTCATTTGTTTTGTGCTTTACTAGTAGTTAGTTAATAGGATCTGTCAGCAATTTTTTTATTTTTTTTACAAGCAATATTGAGGAAAGGAGGAATTGAATCCATAACCTCGAGTGCAGGGTAATAAAACCACCAAGTGCTAGTTTTCCCTTACAAACCATCATTCAGAATATCTGCAAAGCATAACAAGGCCTAAAAACCATAAATCTGGAGCACACTAAATATAAGCCAAGAATGTGACACATCAAATGAGCCAGGTGTGGAGTCTGGATTATTTAAGCTTTGATGTGATCTGTTGCTTTACGAATAGATTTAGGAGCTAAATGATGGGCTGGACACAAATTCCAAATGTGATACAAATATGCACGCATTATCCAAGAATATCATGAAAATTAGTATTCTTTAGAATGAGCAAAATATTACAGCTGAATCCGAAATGGAAGGCCGATAGAGATCACTGTTACAATCAAAATTTCTCCTGACCCGTTTCACATTACCCTCTTCAATTTTTCATGTTTCTTTTTTCTTTTTCTTTGAGGGTCTAAGAGAGAGTCAGGTTCAACTGAACAAATTCACTAAACTTTTCTACGGAACTTGCAAGACCAAGAATGTTACTTGACAGTCAACAAAGTTCTACTTTTCTTTGTTTTCGGCTTTTTAGCCTCTTTCTTTTGCTGCTTGTACTCTTCATATAGTTGTATGGATGATGTAGTGCCATCTAGCTCAGCCCTTAATCTCTGATTCTCCTTAATGTCACGAAGAAGCATGAAATGAGCACAAAGCTTCTTTCTCACATCATCTTCGTCGATTGAAGTTGTATCTGCAGAAGGTTCGATCACAGCTGATACAGAATGGTCACTTCCTCTTTTCCTTTTGTTATTTGATTTTTTAATGTCACTCGGTGGCTTGAAAGACTCTGGCCTCTCCAAGGAAAAGTCTGTGAAAGCTTGTTGAGGAGAGATGGTAGAGAGATAAACCTGGTTATGAGCAGTGTTCATGCTAGATATACTTAAAGCCATACTTGAGACAGCTGGATGATAATGCTGGGTTAGAAGATTGAGTTCCCAAAGGACTGAAGCAAGAGCACCACTTAAATTGGGGTCCGAAGCATATGGGTGATATTTCTGTGCATCAGGAGGGAGAGAAGAGAGTGAGGGGAACGGGTGTTAGATTCAGCATTATAATGAGCGTAAGCATGTAATGATGCCAAATGTACCAAACCAAAATCACATATAAACTAAAAAATAATTATATAAAATCACTTTATTTAAGATTACTTGCTGAATGAACAAGCACGATAGACATTTCTCATTTTTATATTACATAGCATTCTGCAGAGAGTGAACAATGCACAAGCATCATTTGAACTATTGCGTATGTTTGTGCAAGTTTAGGTCTTTCTTCCTTTTTCTCTTTGTTTTTTTCTTTTCCCCTCCTGCTTGACAAATTAACTAGTGCATTCAACTGGATGAGTCTTTTATACTACATTTATAGATGGACTTCAGATTCTGAAGAGAGGACCATTGTGAGAAACATAAGCATGCAGAGAGGAAAGCAAACGAAAAATTTATTTGTCTAACTTCCATATGGGAGACTAAAGGCCACACAGACAAAGTGAGTAAAACTTTATCAGTGGTATCATGGGTTCATGGGGAATTATTGAGGCATCCTTGAGGGAAATTTAAGGACTCCAGCATGCAAAATGATAGTTTTGGCCTGTCTACCGTGGATTAGAATTTAGATAAAAGATAATTCTACAGTTTTGGCATCCAGAGCTGTAGATCAGAATTTAAATAAAGCTAATTCCTTCACATGATAATCATAATGAAAAGAACTTGTGTTTTTGGAAATTTATTTTCAGAAATACAAGCTCGCCGCAGGCTCAAATTCATTAAATATCATGAAGCAGATGTTGGCATGAGAACTTACAGCGACAGAACCTGACACTGAGCCACCTCCAGCATCATTTTCTAACAGATTTCGGCACTTGACATTCTTCAGAAGAAGATGCTTTAAAGTAACCAAAGCTGCAAAAGATTCAAATGGGGAACAGGAATAAGAAATCCATAACAAGATATTGATAACTTTGTTTCTAAACAAGAACATACCAGCCATGGACTCTGCCGATCCGGAACATAATGAGAAAGTGGCCAAACGCTTTACAAATGCAGCAGCCTTCTGCATGTCATGTTGTCTATCTTCACACAGCATTATCTTCAAAGCTTCAGCTAATACTTCGCCCTGATCTCTGTTCCATGAACACAACCAGTACGTAAATCGTTTTAGGTAAGTCATTAGTTGAACCCGCCTAGAAAGCATGCACTTATACTAGTCTCTAAGGTGACAAGAAAAATCAATACACCCATTGCAGGAAATAAGCTATCACAATGAATATTCTTAATAGAAAGATGCAAATTAAGTTCCAGAACTCCAGTAAATATGGGTATGGGAATTTGAGGTTATTTACTTCATAAAATGCACGAAGATAACTAGATGCCACAGAAGGTAGAGAAATGTTTTAACACCAAATTTTGGCATTAAAAAGTTTAGTGCAAACCTTCCAGGCCTATATTCAAGTATAATATTGTAAAGCTGAACAAAGAAGTCCTGCAGATCAACATTTAAGGCATCAAGATTGCTCTTCATCACTTTAAATGCAACAATGCAGCAACGGAGGCGCTCAGATACAGTCAAACATTTTGAAGTATTCTCAGAATCGCTACCACCAGAAGCAAGCTTTTTCAGATAGTTTATAAGATCCCCCATGAAATCCATGTCAATTAGATGCGAGAATTTTCCTAATCCTTTCAGACACGGAGCAAGTAAAGGGTGGGGCTCAGATGCACCAGTAGATAAACTAGCATTTGCTTCGGATCTGAATGGAGAATCACAGGAAATTATTCAATACATTTGAAATCTGAAATAAAGGGGAATTGCAATCCATAAACTACCCAAAGAACAAATTATAAATGCTTTCCACTTTCAATCAAGCATTTCTATGACAGACTTCAAAACTGAATATATCTCCCATTTCAATCATCACTCTCAAAGTAGCCATTTACTGCTTTTGGATACCTAGTTCCTCGAAGCAAAGCGCATGCATATTCATAAACAAGCTTATCTGAGCTTATGCCATTTAAAATATCTCTCAGAAGATCATTCATGCATTTATCAACATTATGAATGAACTGTCAAAATATCTAAAGGTAAAAGATAGAAAATTATAGAAATATGGTTGAACAATATGAAAATTACACCAAAAAAGAACTGTTTCACAATACAGCTATATTTAATGACAATGTAGCTTAAGTGAATTTTATAAAGGACAGAATCAGATACATACGTTCTTTATGGGCTCATTTGAGCACTTAAGGTACATTCTCTTTAGCGTGGTCTGATTGGGAAGGAGTTTTGAGCTAAATTTAAATTATTTCTTGTTAAGCACTTGTAGTTTTTTATGCCAAGATGGACATATTCTCCATCTTTTTTCTAGTACTTAACAGAAGCTAATTTCCAATCAGAAAAATTTACAAATCCTTTTGGTCTTCAATGATACAAAATGTGAAAATTCACTTCTACAAGGAGTTTCTTCCACAATGCATCCATTTACCAGTATCACACACTATTTACAGAAAAAGTAAACATGAGTGCCCCACAGTGCCCATAGACAGAGCAGCCAGTTTTTCCTGATACCATGTGATCAGTCGTCTCTCAAGTCTTAAAACTCATGTATGCTAATGTATATGCTTAGTTTACAAACTTGTAAATCTTCTCTTTGAAAAATTAAAATTATTTGTACAGACTACACATAGTGAGCAATCTGCTCCTTCTTGCTCTGGTTTGTCTTTTAAGCTAAAGCAAATTCATAGGATATCACAGATCCAAAGTTATCAGAATCGTGATGCGCAAACAAACCTGGAAGCTGATGACTGCATTGTATGTTTCAATATGCGAAAATATGTTTCAAACACAGCAGAAAGTGCCTCTGTCTGCATTCCTCTCCGCTCCATAACATCTGGGGTCAAAGCAACAGCCTTGTAATCAGCAGCAACCTGTGTATAGCATTACAATATTCAATAGGTTGAGAGGAAAAACCACTGAAACAAGCAAGATCAAGAAGTCAATGGATTTTGCAAAACAGAAAAACACCTCCTCTCTTGTCTTCGTCAATAACTCTTGCCTACTCCTTTTTTTGTCATTTTCCTTCAATTGACGTGCCTCCTCATAATGCTTTTTCTTCTTACTTTTCTTGCTTTGGGGTTTATGTTTCTCATCATTTCTTGCAGCCCTCCCAAGATCCTCATCAAATGACAGAGACAAGAAAACCTGCAGAAGTACTAACAATAATAAGCATGGAGGAAAAACAAAATCCACAAGAGTTCTTATTATACAATATGATTCCAACACAAAATTCATCTTCGCACTATTTGTAGATTACTAGGCAGAAAAGCAACAATTTCCTATCAACAATCATTTGCTTATGTGAACCTGTGTATGACACAAGTTACGGTAACATATGTACGTTCAACTGACCAAATGCATTATGTATTGCTGCAAAATTACCAGAGAAAAGCTATATCCATATACATTTCTGTACCGTAAAACAGTAAAGCTCCTTTTAAACAAAACTCAAGAAATATGCCATCTAGTTGGCTGAGCATGGAGTCCAACGGTAGATGACGGCCATAAGTAAAGAAATAACAACTTCATCTTAACTCAATATAACCCTGATTGTATCCTTATAAAACTACAGCATTTGATCACTAATTTTCTTTTGGCAGAGGGATATAGAGAACTGGTCTTATTTTCTCCTAGTATATGGTTAGGCAAGATGGTCCAGTATTGAGTTGATCGGCACAAAAATTGGTTAAAACATAAATAACAAATAGATAAGTAATCTCATGCCTCCACAGAGTCAGGGTGTAATTGGCAATTATGAGCTTTCACATGATCTGCAATTAATCGAACAGCCTCCACAGTTGCTTCACCACCGTGTTTTCCCTCGTTTGTAAACAGTGACTTGATGGAAGAACAGCACAGTTTCCTGTTAAGAAGTAGTCCATAGTTAGATGGATGAAATAGTAAAAGAAAATATTGGCTATGATCAAGGACACAATTATCTTGTGAATAAACCGAGAAAAGTGACATGCACCGACACAGACATGAGAGACGTGTTACACATGGTATATGGACACATGAACGTGTCATGTCAACTTCATCCCAAAAACGATGACACATCAATACATCTGCAGTTTTTTATATTTATATAGATATCCGTTCACATTCAAACAAATCTTTATATGAGAACATTATTCTTAAAAATAATTATGAAAATAATAACCATGTCTAATTTTTTTGACAAAAAAGGTCAACACCTTGGCAATGTTGAACTGTTTCTAGGCAAAAGAAGGTGTTTTAACACCCATGCAGTCTGCAGCCAGAAACATAATCAGTCCTTAACCAAGTTTAGAATATTTTTCCTTTGTCAGATAAAATTTTAAATTGAGACTCTAAACAAAGAACAATATTTCCACTTGAATGTTTTGCTCAATCCTAAAGTATAATAAATGCTGGCTAACGCTCATCTTTAGAGTTAAACTGTGTACTCCAACTTGAAGATACAATCATTTTCCAAATTCTTGCGTCAATCCTGACCTTCAAAGACACCTTGTAAGACTACTTACCAAAAGGATAAATTAGAGAACAAAAACTAAAGATAGAGCAAAACCTTACAACATCATCTGGGGAGCCTATGTTTCTGATGACAACACCTAACAAGCTCTCCCGGTAGTTGAAGTGGGGTGCTGCATCAAGCAATGTACAGATACAGCGAAATGCCACATGCTGAAATGAGGACTGCTTTTCTAATGCTGCCAACTTCTGCAGGTATGCCTGAGAATGTGCATAAAAGAAAATTCTAACAATATTTATAAGGACAACCACATAAATCAAAATTGTTCTTCAAAACAAAATTGTTCTTCAAATTTACATAAATCAACAACGTTTTACAGGTTTTTAGGTCAATTTTAAACAATGAACAAACCTAGTGTAGGTTCAGTGATTGGTCCAATGACCCAAACAAACTTTACATCCCCAAAATCTAAACAATACAATATCATCCATCAAAATGACCACTAAGAAAAAGAAACAAATTTACAAATGGCAATTGGCATGATTCAAAATCCACTAGCTTAATAAAACTAATTAATAATTTATTTTGTTCAAGGTGTAGCAGATCCATCAGAAATCAGAAGTAAGAAACAAAAACCATAACAAGTAACCAAGCATAGAAAATATTGCCAACCTTGTATACAGATAGCAGTGTTGATTCATAAAGCCGCATTTTCTTAACATCCTTTGAGACCTTCATTTCTAGCTCCTTCTCAGTAGGAAGCCTAATCCGATATCTACAATACATTCATATAAGAGTTATAGTCCAATACTGGAATGCAGACAGAAAACAATGTTGATCATGAGTAAACATGCACAATGGTTTGTGGGCAAGGACACAAGTTTCATGTGTCAACACAGACACAGGGCGTCCAACACCTCAACAGCCAAAATTATATAATACCAATGTTTATTCTTAATTTGAAACATTTAGCACATATTTACATGTGCTCGGTGTATATTCTTCCAGTGAGAATTAATAATAAAAAATAGACAGGAACATGATAATTGGAAATATTAACGCTGTAAAGTTTCTCCAAAAAATCAAACCACCATAACTCTCCTTTATTTTGAGAGGCTTTTTCCTCCCAAGGATCCAAAGGTGTGACAGAAATGGGTAGGCACATGTCCTAAGGCGTTTGTACACCGCATTTCATTCTAAAGAAGAGTTCTACAAATCATAAAAGATCAATGTACATCATGGAACAGAACTGTGGTCTTACCCAGGAATAAGGTCTTTAAAAACAGCCAACAGAGATAGGAGTCCAAGTTTGACAATGGCATGATTGTTATCTTTACAGATCTGTAATATGTCCTTCAGAGATTTTATATTAGAAGCTGGATCAGCAAGCAGCGCTATTCCCAGCTCTGCAAGTTTGTTCTTCTTACTTTCAAAGGCTTCTTCAGTTGTAAGATCTTCTTTAATCTCAGCCTAACCAAAATAAATAAATAAATAAGTATTTTTTATGTGATACACAGATAATACAGTATACTAAATGTAAAACTCAGAAGCAAAACAGAAGAATAACTAGTCCAATCAGATGATACCAGCACTGCTTCTTGTGGAGTTTGTTCGACTTCAGGTTCAGCCTCCTTTCCTTGTTTCTTAGCCTCTTTCTTACTTTTCTTAAGCTTTGCCCTCCTTTCAGCCTTTGTCAGCTTAACTATGCTTTTATCTGCAGCACCACTGGCTTCCTCTTCAGTGGGATCGTTTTCAGATGCTTTTGATGCCTTCGTTGCTGCATCATGACAAGAATTTAAAACATGCACATTCAGTGTACGTCCAAAGACCTTCCAAAGACAACTCCAACAATTACCATTATCCAAACTATAAAAAATAAAATAAAAATGAGGAACCTGTTCGATAGTAGAGTTGTCCATCTAAGGTTTTAACAGGAAGAGCATCTACACGATCAACTTGAACCCCAGGATCCTCTTTTTCTTTGTGCAAGGATTTCCTTTTTAAGCGCTTTTCATACAAAGCTTCCAAAGCATCCTCCTTTACATCAGCAACGCGGGTAACATGCCTTTGTTTAAACATAAATGTAGATTAGACGAACCCAAAAATGACATTGAAATCAAAACTTTGAAAACTTAGGCCCAACCAATGAAAATTCAGAGGTATGTAAGTATTAAATTTTAAAGGAAATTAAGGTTCAAAAGCACGAAATAAGAGAAAAGGAACAAACTTGTTGATGGACTGGGTGTCTAAGGTGGAGAGAAAGCCAGCGTATTCTCGGTTTTGATCGACAAAGTCCCTGTCCTCGTCCGAGACTTCAATTTCGTCCTCTGAGACCTCCGGTGGGAGCTCAGGAGGTAGAATGATCCTCTGCTTTTGCTTCCTCTTCGCCACCATTCTGTACCTAAAATCCTAGCTGCTTGTTAGTAGGGTTTTAGAGAGAGAGAGAGAGAAGCTGAAGATGAGTCCCGGCTAGTTAAAACTTTCAACCTGCTGACGAAAAAAAACACCTTGGGCCCTCTTCAGTACCCTTCGGCCCATATTTTATTTCATGAGTTATCAGTCTCAAGCCCCGTTTGGGATTGTTTTTTTTGACAAAAAATTTATTTCACTTTAAAGTTAAGCAATTTAAGGTATTTGGTAAAAATAAAATATCTCAATTATTTTAAAAGCAATAGCTTTTTGACAGCAACTTTTAAAAGCAGACTCTAAGTTGCTTTACAAAGCTGCTTTTAAAAGAAGCAGATATGAGCATTTAATGAGTTTTTTTAATTCCCAAAGTACCATCATTAATTTTTAAAAATGACACCACTTCCACCTCCACATCCAACTCCACCACCACATCCACATCCAACTCCACCACCACATCCACAACCACCACCACCATCACATCCTCCTCTACCTTAGCCACCACCACCACAACCAAAACCTCCTCATCCACCTCCACCTTAACCTCCACCTCCACCTCCTCCTCTTCAACCTCCACCACCTCAATCACAACCACCTCTACCTCCACTTCCACAACCACCATCCTCACCACCATCTCTTTCACAACCACCTTCACCTCCATCTCTTTCACCACCACTATTACCACCATATGATTAGCGCATAATGCTTTCAACATCATGTATATTTTAGTCATTACTCACTGGTACAACAGTTTTAATATAAACAACATTTTAAAAATATTGTTTATCAAATAATGAGCTACTTTACTTTATAGCTAATTATTTTCAAAGCACATCAAAAAAAACTTTTTTAAAAAGTAATAGCAATCCCAAACTGGCCCTCAGAGTCCCTAATTTCTCATTGGGGATTTGATTTGAACACAGGAATTTAAAATTTTGGAAAAAAAAAGGGGGGGAAAGGAAGAAGAAAGGAGAGAAGAGGAAGAAAGTTTTTTTTTTTTTTTTTTTTTAAAGGGAAATGGGGCTGGGAAGGATACGATACGACACCAATATGTATCTGATACACCACATGGCATATCGTAGACCATTTCAGGATGTTGACTTTATGATACGGCTCCAATAGTCCATCGATACGGTCACAATACGCTCGCTATACGGTCCCGATACGTCAAGGGGTAAGAGTGAAAAGGTTTTGAAAATTTTGTGGTGATTTTGATGGCAACCAAAAAAGGAGGAGGATGAAGGAAGAATGAAGAAGAAAATAACTTACTTGCGCTTGCAACTGTTGCGAATCTTCAGTTGCAGAACCCAAAACCCTAAACCCTAGGCGCCCTAATTACAATACGCACCGTTTTAGGGGGCTTATGTTTTTATTTGGCCCGAAGTTGGCCTACGTTAAAAAGAAGTGTTTTATACCTTTTTTATGTTTGATGGATTCATTTGGGCCCAAGCCCAACAACTGACACACGTATATGGCCTAGAAACACATAAGTAACCAGAAAATTAAAATTTAGGAAAAAAGAACAAAAAGAACTTTAAAATACTAACGAATTTCAGTTCATCTAAAAGGATGGAATTTCTTTTAGTAAAGGTCTAAAAGGATGGGATTAGGTCTGCAGCGGCATTTTAGTTCAAATTTTATGAACCAAAGTTTGTTACGTGCACGAATAAAACATATAAAGTTTACAATTTCTTATATGGCTAACCTATAAAACATAGTGTGAATTAAGCCCATTAAAATTGTCAACGAAGTTTAACTTAGTAGGAAAAACGTCTTGACTTATAGATCAGTGGTCTTAGGTTCGAACCTCCATGGCACCTTGATAGTTTGTGTGTGAGAAACCACATTCCCCATGTAGTTAAGCTTATCGCTTGTATTAGAAAAAATAATAATTGACAAGCATCCTCCTTTCATTTTGTTGAGTAAGTAGATTAAACTGAGTTTAATTTTTACCATTTGTCTATTGATTTGGTGGCTTAAATTTGAAATCTCATAAGATTTAAACTCAAATATTCTTTGCAATTTGCATGTAATTTAGCAGCAATACACTGTGCACTTAGTTTTAAACCTTTGACCTGCCGATTTCTTTTCACACACACACACGTGCAAATATATCCACAAACAAAAAAGCGATAAAAACACTACACATTAATATTATACATTACAATACATGATGAGACCATAGGAAAGAAAATCTGGTGGTCCATTTCTCATTTACTGCTGCTGCTTTTGACATTTCAACCCCTACTCTCCTTTAATAGATTAGGACCCTATTTTCCAAGTGTGACATTAATGTGGAAGGTTTATTTAGTTGAACCAATCCAATAAAGATGATGCTGACAAACTAAGCATTGACAATGGGCTACCTGCTTCTTTAAGGTTTGATTGGGGCTAAGCTTTGGATGGGGAATGAGAATGTATATACTAATTCACACTGTGCTTTTGTTGTATAGGATCCAATAATTTATGGATCGCAAAATGACTAATTAGACACTCATCAAAGAGGTTAATTGAATTAAGAGTTAATTAGGACTTTTTTAGATAAGCATTATGAACTATAACACTTCAACCATTCATTAAGAATGAAAGTCTTTTATTTTTCGTGCAGTTTGTCATATCATATTATGTTCTTAGAAACGTGTGTGTAAGGGTAAAACCTAATTGTTGCTCTATGAGAAAACTCTAAAGAAAAATCCCTACTTGCCACCCTCTTTAGGGTCAGCGGCCACCCTTCCTACTCCATTCCCTTTCTTCTCCTCCCATCCCCCTTCCTCTCCTTCCCTTCAGTTTCCCTCTAGATTCTTTGTGTTTTGTTTTTTTTGTTTTGTTTTGTGAAGCCAAGGATTTGGCTCTAGTTGTCAGCCTTTGATATAGATTTGGAGCTATGAAGGGGGGATGATGTCAAGTTGTATCGAGTTCGGGTTTAGCTGATGTGGGACTATGGGTTTAGCAGGTATGACATTATGGTTCTCTTTGAATTGCTCGGGATGACGTGTAGCGATGGTCTTATTTCTTAGTTTGTTTTAGTCTAATAATTCCCATGAATTAGGAGTTTGATGTAATTTGTTTTTTGTTTATGATATTTTATTTCATATTGCCGTTTGGCTTCCAATATGGATTTGTTGTTTCTGCCGTTGCGGAGCAAATCTTCATTGCAAGTTTGAGTATAGTATATCATGCCACATATTTGATAACAGAACATTCACCCTTTGAAATTAAAACCCTTCTAAACTTTTGAGGCACACATATAATTACTTCGCCGATGCCTATAATCCTTGAGTTCATGAACCTACTTTCAAAAGGAGAGATGAAGTTAAAGTTGACTGACAAATCCACACAATAATATGAGTCGACTCTCTCAGGTCAAAAACAAAAACAAAACAAAAGATGACATGTGTGATGGAGTTTGGTTATTGTATGACTTGTCTCTTGATTCGTACGTAAGTTGGTTTGTAGTTAAAAATTAATGTTCTCGCTCACAAAACATTGACATTTCAAAGAAAATAAAAAGGGATAGTTGCCGTGTTATTGTTATACTAGGAACATGTAAACACAGTAACAAACAATCATAAAATTAGAGTGCATGTGCTATTTTGCAATAGTACGTGAGAAAAAATTCTCATGTGGGGTACTAAAATTTCATCAAGCGAGCAATTCGCTCATGTTATAATATGTCGTTCACTTTTATTATACGTAAACTAGTAACATCACATAGAGCCGTTTATATGGAAACTTTTGCTTACCTCTCCCTCATGCACCCGTGCGTCTTCTTTCAATGTTCGCGTTCGCTAAATCCAGACCTCCTGCATGAAACTTAGGTAAGTGACCAACTGGTCCCGTTCATCATTTATTGCTAGTTCAACTTCATTCATTTATTTGATGATTGTTACTTCAACTTCTTTGGACATTTCCTTTCTTTTTGAGTGAACAGCGGTTGTATTATTTGAATGAGAAAAGATTATAACGAGTCTTCAAACAAGGCATCATGAATGAGAGGAGGGGGACATTTCCTTTCTTTCAGTTTGGACCTTTCATTTTGCATTAACGCGTTTTCTGGTAATTAATTTAGTGGAAATGTTTTTTTTTTCTGGTGATGTTGAAGATGGTCATGGTGGCCGAGTAATGCATTGAGATGGGCTTTATATATTGGTTGATTCCTGACAAAAGCGCACGTGCATGGGGACCAATGTATGCTTGATATATGATTAAAGATATTTATTCATATACTCATTCTTAGCATTAATAATATAGATAAACTTTACACAATTTAATTTCTATAAACATACCCAAAAAATGACAGCTGTCCCTATTGAATTTAATTTTGATTATTAAATTACTTTGATGCCCTATTGAGTGTTTTGTGTTTTTGCTATGAGGTTTTGGGGTTGGGTTTGTTTTAAGAAATCAATGGCAGTTTCGTAATTTAAAATAAGATAAAAGCCTTTTTGTTATGTTGTAAATGAGTTTTAGGTGTGTTTCTAAAATCCATTTCATATAGAGTTTTTTTTTATAATTTGGACTCGTATATTTGGTATAATAGTGAATCTCCCACATAATTACTTGCATTACCTAAGTTCAGGAGTTCAATCAAAGTATATATACAACCATATCACGGATCTAAAGACACTTGTATTTTGTGGTAATTAGCCTCTATTTTATACCCTACATGAGTCCTAATTTTATTTTAAAATGTCCGGGATAATTTTAAACAAATCATACTTTTTTTATTTTATAAATCCACGTGGCATTAATATTCTTCCACTTGAGAAAAAAAAAATATGTGTCAATTTAACATGTATCTTAACCATCATATCGATGATGAGTATATAACGATGAAAATGACGTAAACCGTGGCATAATAAAATTAAATCAACCCGACAATTTATGTGCAAAGTTAATTATATGTATACAATCACTTTTTATTGAGGGATATTCTCAAATAAATATTTGAGGAACTCTTTAAAGGTCTCCTACGAATTTTTTTCAACGATCCAAACCGTCTATTTTGTCAAGTCAATAAGCAAATACCTTTGTGGCTGACAAATTCAGGGAATATGTTCCAATTTTCTTTTTCCCTAGCTAGGCTATATATGGTGAATAA